AGTCATTAAATTTGAAAGCAATAAGCAAAGGATGAGCATCACTAGCAAAAAGGATAAACAGCGAATTATCTGCACATGAATGAGAAGTGATTACAGTTGCGATGTTTTCCCATTGGACCATTTAGTGGGTGGCACAGGCAGCTGGTGGAGAGACAACAGATAACAGTGCGCTGAGCCCATCCATGATCGAGACTGAGCACATGTTACTGATGCTATTTTTAAAACTAGGAGAAAGTTAGTTTTGAGATGTTCTGTCAGTACAGCCCATATTGAACCAATTATCCAGAGAAGGCTGAGGAGGACGCTGATGATAATGATGCTGTTGCCAACATCAGTGATGTCCAGAGAGCCGGCATCCTGCTGGCACGGCGGTGCATCAGGACCTCATTAATAAAACTAATAACAGGTTTGCTCACTAATATTCTATTTGGTGGCCTAGTGGACCATGATGGTGTAATTTGAAAAGGACATCCCTACAATATGATATATGCTATATAAATCATTATAGAATACATTATGGTTGTGAAAAAGTAATAATTATTTTTAAACTTAAATTCTAGGGGTGTGAATCTCTGGGCACCTCACGATTTGATTACAATTCAGAGGGCTGCAATGCGATTATAAAAAGATTATCGATGCATCTTGATGCATCTTTTGTTTTAAATGTGATTTCTGGATAATTACTATGCATTTAATTTGCACAGTAATATCTAAAAGAAACTCCTTAGCTTAAAAGGACTAGCTTGCTTCCCTAATTTACTTTACTAACCACAGCTCCTCCTGGTCACCACCTTCTTCTCTTTGATAACCAGTTTTTTGACTCTTCTTAAAACTGATATATAATTTAACTAGTATCAGGATGTACAGTAGATGAACAGGACAGAGCTGTACACCAGTTTAACTAGTACCTGATGTTCTCAGCCCTGGACATGTAAGTAATAATGGCATACAGCTAACATTAACGTTTACTTTGTTACTGATTTAGCTGGTGTTACATCTTAGGGGCCAAAACACACATGCTGTACAAGGGAGATGTTAGCTCGCGCTAATCGCCTGCACTTTTCAGCTGTTGGGGAAACGATAGACTTTTATTAACTGACACACTTACGCTGCACGTTTACTAACAGACTGACACTTACTGTTAATATGTTCTTCTGCTCGCTCTCTATCTCACTCACTCGGCCTCACACACAGGATACGCAGTGAGCTAGCCAAGGGCTGAGTGTCACCATGCTCGCACAATGTGCGAGTTAAAATCAATTACTTGCGCGTTGATATAAATGATTGTGTGACATTTAAGTAGAGTGGTTATTCATTCTGCAGCGGTGGTGTGACGAATAAAGGGGGAACACTGGTCTCAGTTATGTGCGCGCCACAGACGGTCCGGGCGCTGCACTTCCGCCATTTGCGTTTCGTCTACATAATGTTATCAATAAACATTTAAATAATCAATTTTGTCGTCCCACATCGAGTAAGAATCTTCCACGTCCGCATCGCGATGCATCTAAGAATAAACGTATTTTCCCACCCCTATTAAAATCTTATTGTCTATGCCACAAATTATTCCCCAGCGGTATAGGCTTTACTCTTTTTTTGTACAGTTATATTCACATAAAACATGCAATAATTTCCTCATTACTTAAGTGATGCAATCAGAAGATTTTCTATAATTAATGACAAGCCATGCCTCTGACAAGGACTGTGGAGCTACAATTCCTACCACACAACTTTAAAACAAACGTGGTTGTGTACTTTTATCGGTTTTCAGCAACACTGTAACTCCTGGCATTCTTCTAACAGAATTTTTTATCTTCATATTATTGTAGGGAGTGACATTTTAGGGGGAAACCACCCAAGGACATTTGTGTTCATGAGAAAAGACATGCAAGACTGCTTTTCTAAATAGGTCTGAAAATGTTACATTATTGTCTATTGCCTCTACGTATATACAAAATTCTCTAAGATGTCATGAAAATCAGGCCAATTTTATCGACAGCTATGGCTTTAAATCTGTTATGCACTGATATAAGAAAGAAAATAATCCCTCTGCCTTTCAAATCTTTTCTTTTCATGTTAACTTAAGCACTGATTTAGTTGTACTATCTATGATGAGAAAGATTGAGGTCACCCAGCCTAAAGTGGTAGATGTGTACAGTTACGTGACAGTGTACAAGTAGTTAAATTGGATTTATCCCCCACCACCATCTAGCTGGTCTGCCAGTCAGCCTGTATTGCCTTTCTGCTGTGTGTCAGAGGTCTGGTGAAACACACCATATGAGAAATCTCAGCTGTGTTAGGGGCTTGGAAGGCTACTAGTCAATAAAACAGCAAACTAAGGACGTGGAAGCATGGAACTGGGGGATTTTGGGGCAGAAGTGGGGTGACTCAGAGAGGAACCATTCTCCTGTGTTACATCACTGCTTCTTCGCTATGGAGGATGATTGGTGCCACTGAGTTGAAAACATCTAATATACTTGGGATGCATGCAAAAAAAGCATTACAACACAGTCACTCCATTTGCCACAATGTTAAAATGAAATGTGTAACATATTATACAATGGAACTACTCTTCAAATGCTACTAATGGCACGATAATAGAATCATGCTGAGACTGGAGTGCAATTATCATCAGCCAATATTAGCCAATCACGTATGTTGTCTGATAATAAGAAATGCCACCAATGTTTATAGCAATACTGAAGCACTTGCGCCATTAGATAGCATAGTCTGTCCACAAGTGAGCACTAACAAGTCAGAAAATTTCTCACTCAGTACATTTTTCCACAATTCTTTCCTAACCAAATATAAGGGATGCTCAGAAGAAATGTTTATATTCATGTGTCATAACGTCAAGTCATGTCAGCCTATGTATGATCAGATTTTTTAACTCTCAAATGTCAATATGGGTATCTGCCTCAAAAATCCAGTATTGTTAAAAATAAAAAGTAGAGCTATGGGAAAAATCTGAGGACAGAAAATTGTATACACCACTCAAAATTTAATGCATTTGATACAGAGTAGAAGCTATATACAGCGTGCTTGACAACCCAGCTGTATTCCAACGTTAACTATCCTTATTAGCTAGGCTCCTTACATGCTTGCTTATAACTTATTTGAAGGTGGGTCTCTGACATTAACAGCATTGTGTTAAGTAAAATAGAATAACTTCTTAGAGTTAACTTGATTGCATTTATTTTTCTACATAAACACGGCTCTGTTGCAATGGGTTTGTGAGGGAGAGAGGGAGCAAGCAAGCAGAGTTGCTGAGCAAATCTATGCACTGTGTGCAGCTCCACAATGAATTATGATTTTACTCATTAAATGGTATATAGTATGTGGCAGTCAGCATTCATATTGTGGCATGTCGTGTCGCCACAAAAAAAAAAAAAAAAATCAATGAATGGGAAACGGCAGTGTGGTGCAGATTCAAGAGACTATCAGACTATCTTAGTTCTGACGGATTTAGTTAAAATTGCCTTAATATCGGCACATAAAAACCAAACAATGTCACAGATGTCATAATTTATTCCCAAATGAATATGTTAAATTATTTCAACTTCAAAGTGGGAAGAAAAAAAACTATCTTTAGTATCTGAACTCGTTAAAAAGGTGTTGGACTTCCATTGTCCTTTGTTGCAATCAGACCTCCTTTGGGTTACCGTAAAGATACACATTTTACTTACACTGATTTTTATACCAACCCATCTAGAACTGAATGCAATCTCAAACTTAATCCCCACCAGTCGCATTGTTCCATGCTTAACCTCAACCCAACCTTAGCCCTCCCTCCAACCAGTCATCTGTGTGACGCCCAACCATAAACTTACATCATGCTAACCTAAATCTATCCCAAACCCACAGAAAGCTGCAATTTGGGAAATACAATTTGAAAGAGAAAACAGACTTTGACACAAGACCAGTGTACCATGTTATGTGACTTGTTTGAAATTTTAGCTTTATATCTGTGGCAATGACTGCCATGGTTATATTGTATTGGCATCGCTGTTGTCAGGAGTGCAGATGGTTACACCTAAGAAAATATGACGTAATCTAAAAACTATAGAGAATCGCATTTTGGTGGCTGCGATTTAATTCCAGTAGCAGTGCCCAGTAGTGTTAAGCTCTGGCTGTGGCTTCACTTGTTAATATTCAATAAAAACCATCAATCTTCTTAATAGTTAAATCTGTGTAACAACATATAATCTGATGGGTCACAAATTGCAGTGGAACATCGATAATCCCAAACTGATAGCCGATTTTCCGGGACTACATTTGTGCTCCCGGTGGCATTAATCGCCCTTTATACATGCACATCCATCCACGAGCCAACAGCGCTAACTATCGCCCTCATCCTCGTTTCTACCTACGCACATGACAACAAGCAGACACATAGATTAAACGTCCACATAAACCGAGACCACAACTATAGTAAGCCTATAATACAACTTGGGACACCTCATAAACACCACAACTAAACTACAGGCTTAACGGACAGTGCAATCCTGGCAATTTCACAGGAGATCAAGTATACCAACTCAATGAATAACGTTACCAAACATCTTCTGAGTGCCTGCAGGAATGTTATAGTAGCTACATTTCCTGAGATATACGGATTCGTGTGATCGTGTCGTGTGAACAACCAGTGTCGTAGCTAACGTGTAACACGGCGGGGTCAAACGGGAGTTGAAGGACCAGAACCAGGACTACGTTTAGCTTTGACGTTACGGTAAAGCAGGAGGTTAGTTTGCGCCATAGTCTTGCTGCCTAATCAATAACGTGCGCACAAATCACGGAAGCTAAACGTCTCGGCGTGAACATATAACCGTTGGACGTTACACTCGGCCCTATAACCGTTAATGCAAGCCAGCATAAAGGTTGCCTCTGAAAAACCGTTTAACTCGACAACCAAAAGTCGCTTTTTGATTATAAAAGACCAATTCAACACAATAGTTGGGCTACACACATGACGACTATCCCGTGTTGCGAGTAACGTTACTTACCAGGGTGACAATCTTTGTGTTTGGGCAAGGTTAAAAACATTAAGGATAAAATCCACCAGTAACTCGGTTCCCGTATTCTCCACATGTTAGACTACTCATCGAGAGTAACAAGAAGGCAACGGATGACAAAGTTTTTCAGTCTTTTCTCTTCTTCAGGGGGAAAAAAAAAATCACATACACACACGTCCGACGCTGAAACGAAGTTGGCACAGCAGCCACGAAGGCAGAGCATCAAAGTAATGGTTAGCGGTTCGACGATATAGTCACTGTTTTGTCTTTTTAAAAAGACACATTTATTCGCCTCCGGTCCGAGCAAGGGCTGTTTTCAGCTTCGAGGAATAATGAAACGTTGCGTACACCACAGCCGTGCAAAAACAGCTCAAAATCTGCTGGACTCCACCGTGCCTGTAGCGGGCTTCCAGATAGCGACATTCCCGAAGTGTGGAGGGGTCAATCGACGATCAATCGCTGTCTTTAACTACAAGGGAAAAGTGGTCGAATAATATTGATTACGCATGGTCATTATGAACTGATTGTCCGCGGCGTCAGCGTGGCGAAGAGCAATGCACAATGCGAAGAAAAGTGGTGCTGGAAATGTCCCATTCTTCCATCCAGGAAGTAGACTAGCGGTCAGGCATGCATGGATATCTGGCTGCTGGTCCCATCCTACCGGACAGGCTGCGTGTGAGAGGGAGCCAGCACTGGGCGGGAGCAGCGGAGGGGAGGAGAGGGGAGGAGAGGGGAGGAGGGAGGGGGGAGGCGGTTCTCGGATTTGCTGAATGCAAAATGACTCGGAACGGACCGAGAGGCTGGTTTCTGTCTATGGTGCGATGATGAAGACTCCAGAAATCAATTGCTCATGTCATATTGTCAAGTCACCAAGTCCAGCGTGGATTCCACCGCTTCTTTTAAATGTTGCATCAAACATGTTGCATCAAACATGTTGCATCAATCATGATGAAATACTATTAGAATATCATCTAGCCGAGGCCGTTTCAGAAAATACAGTGGACTGAAGCCTTGTTCAAAAACAGAAAATAGTCTTCCTGCTAAAGATACTGTTTCCAACCCCCCATCCTGTCATTTAATCTTTTTGTTGCTTCCTCCCAGGCCCCGTTATTAAAATGACCCTCCTGTGGCCACACCGTGATGTCCCTTTGCCTCCTGCTGGCAGAACTGTGAATGGAATACTTTAGCAGTAATCATCACCTGAAATATCATCATGTATGAGTGTGTACTGATTGGAGAATTATGCATCCACCGGTGACACTCCCCTAGGTAAATGTGTAGTCAGTGGTGTTCTTGCAGAACTATCCAGCTGGACATTTAATTTGAGGAATATGATTAAATTTCTCATTTAATTACCTAGTTCTCTGCAGGGCCATTGAAGACAGTCACAAGGGCCCTTTGCTTTTAATGTGGGCCATCTGCTTCCTCTCCAAAATGCCTACCTTTTCAAAGCCCCCACAGCCTCGTGGGCATCCTCGCACGTTCCTCCAGGCTGCACTGCCTCCGTACACACTGCAAAACATTACCACAGTTGACAATACTCCAGAGCTGACTGTATTCTGACTGATCAAGTGCAATTAACCTGAACAGAACTTTTACTCTCAGTTTTGTTTTCTGTCTTGGTCTGTCAGGTGACACAACAGGATGGCCCTTTAAATGAATCATGCAGTAGACCCAGCACATATACGCGTATGTGTAGAGGTCACCCAACCAATAACACAAATCAAACATATGTGAATAACCAAACAACGTTAACTGTCGCTCATAGTTCATATTAGTACATGAACATAAATATATCCCATTGTAAATTATACATTTATCAGCATCATGTATTGTAAGAACACCACTTCATTTTGACTTAATAACTTTAACTCAAACTCCACATTTTCTTTTCAGATCTTTTAACCGCATCTTATTAGTGAGTGGCGTTTGCTCAGTTGAATATCTGTCACATGGAGATGACACAATTAATTGATTAGTCGATCGAAAGAAAATCATTCTGCAACATTTCACAAGTTAGAATGCCAAAACATGCCGTACTTCGCTTCTCAATAGTGAGTATTTGCTGCTTTTCTTTGTTTTACATGACATTAAGCTGAATATATTTTGGTTTGGGATGGTTGTTCGGACAAAACAAGCTATTTAAAGATGTCTGGATGGATATCTTGACTATTTTCTGCCATCTTAAAGATTCATTGTTAAAATAACAAATGAGTCAGTCACGAAAATAATTGGAAGATGCAGCCCTTATGTTATAGTTAAAACATTAACATGCAGTAGCCCCATGAGTGTCCTTTTTCACCGCTATTTCAGGAAATTACTTTTCATGTCGTAGAATGTGCAACCTTTAAGTCGGAAAATTTGCGCACAAAAAGCAATCAGTGTAAACTTAAGTAATCAACAGTATAAAATGAAAAGGCAAAGGTAACATTTCTGGACATATTTTAAGCCACAGTGCCAAGGCTGTGAGATACTTTGTGTCTTGTGCAAAACATTGCCTTGCAGCTGTTTTGAAATCAACCGTGACATTATCCAGGCTTATTAGCTTAAAAAAAGGGAACATAAGAGCTCCACAATGTTTCATATGGGTGACATGTTCTTCGTAGTAAATCTTAACTTGAGAATATTAAAAACAAAATGCAAATAAGGACTCTCTTGTCAGATGAGTGTTTGTACTTGTTGACTAATTTTAGTGGTTGCATCGCAGCCCCTGTTGTAACTCAATTTTCTCCTGAATAGTAACATTTATTACCCTCTCTGCATGAAGTGCACTGTTGTTTGAAACATGGGAAATAAAATAACAGTATAATTAATATTACAGCAATATGTTGCATTCATGGCACCCAACCTGGAAGTCTGACAAATGAACCCAGGTGACGCTGCATTCATTTGGTCAACGTCATGCCTTCTCATGCAGATAGCTGCAAACACATAAAAGCAATCACAGCCAATATAGTGTAAAATGAGTCATGACCATTATTTTTCTTCTGTCTTTAAAGCGCCATGCAGGGCTTCATGCCAAGACCTTGAAAACTCCCCAAACTACCCTTCACTCTCCACAGTATTTCTTTGCACTTTCTGGTAGTTTCATGAGGAATTTTTAACATGTCCTCTGACTTCCGACATTCTAATCTTTTTCACCCTTTGGGAGCTGAGGCCATAAAGGCACCCTAACACTTTCTCTGACAGTTCAATTGTGCTTCGGATTAAAAAAGGAAAAGAAAAGCTGAGATATACATGATTCATGCAAGTCCAGTCATGACACCAGCGATGTCCCATGGGCCTTTCCTTCCGCTTTGCCCTTAAGTGGTTTGAGGATCACACTTGTATTATTTTTTCAAACACATTTCACATGTTGACAGTTGGTACATAATGTACGACTGTGTGCATTAATTATGTAATGCAATTCAGGCTATGACCATATATAATTTATTTGATTCTCAATCTCATACATTATTTAATCAAAAGATATTTTTAACATTATTACTCTCCCCAAATAGTTTGATCTTTTGTTGGTCCATCCCTTAGTTCTCCACATTAATGTGTCATGTTTCTGCACTGAATCTACTCTGCATTAATGCTTCAGGATGGTGTTCACGAGTGTCTGTCAGCCGGGGTAGGATGTCCTTAAAAAGGGTAGCGCTCTAAAACTGTGAAGAGGGGTTCAAAAGTAAGCAGTGTACTGAAAATATTGTGAGCCAGGTTCAGGTGTGATGAAGAAGTTTTGGAGACTTATAAAGACTTACATAGCATGGTTTATTGAGCCCGGACAAGGAGATACAGAGTCTATTGGTTATTGGTTCAAATTGGTCAAGACAAAGTTTTATTTAATCCACATGCAACACTTTCTACATGGAGCCAGTCATTCTGTTTGTAATGAAACAAAATAAAGATATCTTGGTGGATAACAGTGCATCATTATTAAGGCAACTGCAGCAGTCAGTCAATAAGCAGAGAGAGTCTGACCTACAGTTTTGGAGAGTCCCTGGCAGTCACCTTTGGCTTACTTTAGCTTAATTGACCCTATCATGACTACGGCACCCCTAAATTCCTTCACAGGCAAGACATTACCAGTTTTTGGTTTTCTTTTCTTAAAAAATGCTTTAAAACCAAAATGTAAAAGAAGTGGGAAGCACTCCAGTTCATGTGCTTCCTTCCTGACAGTGTGTTTCTGTCTTCATCAGTGGCGTTCCAACTAATATGAAAAATGTAGGTTATGTTATACTTGCGTTAGAACTACATAACGCTAAGCCTTACGAGGCTGCGGTGTTTTTGAAGCCAAATTTAGGAGCCAATAATAGGCTCAGAGTCTGAAAAAAAGGCACTTTGGCTATGACAACATCAAATCTAAGACAACTGCTGAGTTTTGATTCAAAGATTAAAGGACTAACCCGGTGTTTCGCATGTTATAGCCAATTTACTGAAATCACAAGTATTCGGGATTGTTACACGGGTGAGCACAAGGCAGCAAGGGTTCAGTGATTTATTGTTAAAAATGAAAATACAAAAGCTTACAGGCATGTCCAAACATGTAGTAACTGTAGTATTGAATCCATAGGATAGCAGGGTTATGGTAGGTTACAGGGTGCAGGTTACAAGGTTCAGGATTAAGGTTTCAGAGGCTTGAAGGCCAAGGAATGTGAGCAGGTGGATGTAGGAGGAGGTGACTGAAAGAGGTGTAAATGTCTGAGGGCATCTGGTGGACAGGTAGAGAATGGCAATGAAGGGCCGTGGGAAAGTGGAAATGCGGCTGGAGGGAGGAGACAGAGAAGCAGAATGTGACAGGGATAGCTGCCACGGTTTTTAATGTGTTTTTGATGCCTCCTTGGCAATCACTGTTTGCATTTAATTTTTTTTCAGTATTTCTTAGGGTATGACAGACAACTCCATTACAAAGAACATTACGTCTGATTTTATAGTGCTGTAATGCATGGATTGATTTGAGAAGTCTGCCTGTGTGGTGCATTCATGCGCTGTGAGAAGCCAGGTGCCAAAACAGGATTGCATTCATCATGCTGATGGAAAGGTGCGAAGACAATCTATAAGCAAATAGGTAGATGTTGCAAAATCAAATGTGAATTTTTGTAGCAGCCAGCTAAGTCTTGGATATTGAATGTGCTCATAATTCCCCTCAGGGATTTAGGGATTTTTTTGTTTTGCAATCATGCATCAAGACAGTTTCCCTTGAGAAGAGCAGAAAGGAATCTCTGCAGTTCCTGTGGAAACAGGAGAATTCATCTACAGACGTGCAACCACTGTCCCCTATTTTGATTATCAATGATATTATATTGGTCATCTGTCTCCCTCGGTGTGAAGGCTTACACTGGCAGTCAGAGATGCTGCACTTCTTGCACTGAAAGTGTTAACTGAATGACCGTTTTCCCATTTTCACAGTTTTGAAATCATTTTAAGATCCTACAGTTGTTTCATATGTGCAAATTACTTCATTCTTCAAAGTAATACTGTACCGTCAAAATCAGATCGGCTTTGCCATGATGTAATGTCTTGGTGCAGTTGACCTAATTACAGAGGACGGAGAATCATTTTCTGTAATGAGGAGATAATGACAGAAACATGGAAGGTTTTAGATTTGGGTGGTCAGTATTGGATAAAGGAGATCTGAGAATTAAGATTAAAAAAAAGCGTTTGGCTGAGAGAGAAAAGAAGAGTTATGACTCAAAT